GGCGGCAGTTTTAATATTAGGGGAGGCTTTAATAATAGTGGGAAGGGATTAGAGCCTTATACAGACCCTGCAAAACCCCGAAAGCCCCTGTCAGCCGGTGGAGCACTGTCAGATTGGAGCAGCTACCAAGTGTTGATACATGTTGAGGTGTGCGATGGGCCACGGTTGCAGCCGAAGCCGGCGACAGGCAGGGACTTTCAAGATTGGAGCCTGATTCATAGGGGTCTTTCTTGCAAGGGTTTCTGTGGGGAAATACACATATATGTACACGCATGTGCGTATACAACATGTATATGTTTACATGTGTAATCATATGTATACACGTTTGTGTCATGCTGCTGTACATGCGACAAACTCTGCACCGGTCATGTTATCTTTCTTGGCATGTTTGATTTTCATGTTTTGAGTCGTTTGCATGCGCAGGGGCATGGCGCTCTTTGTCCTAGCCATGCTAACACAGCTATGGAGTTAGATTGGATGGAGTCACTGACGAGTGACGCTTTGCCTGCGGAGTTGCACCTGGATCCAGCACTGGATAGCTGGTGGACTCGAACATCATGTGAGCAGTTGTTGTTATGGCAGTGTGACAAGGGCGAGTCTGCAATGCAAAATGTTTCTCTGGCTTGCTTATCGGACATGATCTTGTTGAAATGGAAAAAAGTGTCCGACCTATTCCACAAAACCACGACGAATCCGGACAACAATAACAACAACAAAACATAATACGATGGACAATATCAAAGAGCTGGTCTCGCCCACATGCTCAGCCTTGTTATCTTCCAAGTTGTGTATGTATGTATGTATGTATGTATGAATGCATGTATGTATGTCTGTATGTATGTGTGTACGTCTGTATGTGTATGTGTATACATGCATGCATGCATGCATGTATGTATACACATATGCGTGCAGCCCGTGTATATGTGTATATATATATATATATACATATACATATATACCTGTATATATGCGCATGCATACACATGCCTGCATGCCTGCCTGCATGCATGAACGAATGAAAGTATGTATGCCTGTATGTACGCAGGTATGCACGGACGTCTCTGTTTGTGTATGTATGTATGTATGTATGTATGTATGTATGTATGTATGGATGTGCCTCTGCATGTATACATGTGCGGATGCATGTTTGCATGTTTGCATGTGTGTATGCATGTAAGCATATATGTATATAAATAATAAATAAATAAATATATGTATATATATATATATGAGTATGTCGGTATACTTAAAGACTCCACAATGGTGCTACGATGGTCTATGAGTCTATGGGTTTCTATGAACGGTTCTTGTACGGTGTAAGCTGCTGCTGCTGCTGCTGCTGCTGCTGCTGCTGCTGCTGCTGCTGCTGTCGTTTGCTGTTCTTGCTGTTGCTGCTGTTGTTGTTG